CGTAGTGTGATTGCGTAGAGCTACGTCACACGAAGGCTCACTATTGGCCGACGCTGGTCATGTGTGTGATGCGTGTGACGTATAATAACAGAAGCTTACGCTATTAAACTAGTAACCTGACTCGCGCAGAGGGAGAAATAAACGAATAGTTGAAATAAAGTTTTTAATATCTTATCTTCTCCTCCTTCAATACAGCAAGGTTCTAACAGAGACAAACACTTCTAAAAGACATGAATGAATGTGCTGTGATTATATCCCACAACCCCAACCAGCTATCTGGACAGTGATTGGGTCTCCAGATTACTGTTGCTACAGAAATGCTAATTTCTCTTTGGAAACAAACAGACGCCTCCAAATATGTTAAATGGGGTGGCTGTTACTTACATTGGTAAATACTGCTGTTATAATAACACTTAATTTTGACCTTATACACTGCAAAAAACAAAAGAAACAAAAAAAAAACAAATATAAAAGTAAATTTAAGACTTAGTTATAACATAGATTTTGTGATAGATCTTATTATTTACTTCAGATTAGTTTTAATAAAATATATTTATTTTAAATGTCCCAAAGAAATAAACACCATATAACTTTCAGATTATTTTGTCTGCAACATTTTATGTAAGTCATTAAAAGTCCTGTTACAATTCCCGTTTAACAATTAACAATACATTTTTACTCCTGTTAATTTCATATTGGTGTATTTCACCTGGGGTAGTCTTACACCAAAACAAAACAACAGCAAAAATGAATTTAATTAAAAATCTAAGAAAATTATGTACATCGAGCCACATTTACACCTGTTATTAACATGAATTTTCACCAATCTGATCACAAGAAATTAAAAAGACAAATGGCTGTTTACACATAGTCACTTTAAACGTGTATGTCACCATGTGTGATTGGATTTCAACCTACTTGAAAGTGTTAGGTTTCTGTCTGTGTTTTGTTCCTTTTTTGTCGGTTCTTATCAGTGTATGGTTTTTCAGCTCATTGTGGTTTTACCAATGTACTTTAAATAAACTGGACTGCTCCATTTAAATACAGCTTTTATTTCATCCTCGTTTTCAATCATCATGGCCGAAAGTAGACAAGATCAAACTCATTCAGATCCTGATTACATCTGTATATCATTGTCCCAATATGATTGTATCTAAAAAAATATATAAGTTAATGCCAAGTGTATAGGACCTTGTTTATTTTTTTGAATCAGTGAATATTTACATACATACACATTCAATCACTAGTTTTTGTTGCTGAGAGGTAGACAGTAAAACAACAATATGGTAATCTCTACAATATCCTCGTTTATGTTTAAAAATATAAATAAGTTAAAAGATAGAAAATCATATCATGGTTTTAGCTTTGTTGTGTTCCTAGATCCATTTACCACATCCATGTTTTAGACATTCCAAATATGTATTATCAAGTATTATCAATTGTATAAGTTTTTGTATTTGAGCTAACATATCTGTTTAATACTAACAGTCTGAGTAAGTAACATTAAGCTCTCAAGTGTCTGCTTACTAAAGCAAGATTTATGACATACTCATCATATTTCATTTATTCCCCACCTGCTAAAACAAGGGCTGTCTTAGAAAATGTTAATGTGTTTAAGTATAAACATTGATATATAAACGTGTAAAAATACATGTGGTGTGATTTGACTGTATTGTAAACAGCTCTGCTAAATTACAGAGCTGAGGGCTATTTCACAAAACCAAGATAGTGGATTAAGCCGGGATTTTCCAGATATCCTGGCTGAATTAAGCCGGGACTCGGTTTCACGAAAGCAGTAGCACATAAGTTACCATGGCGTTTTATTCTGTGCAGCTAGCCTGCTCCAGACCAGGCTAACAGCCAGGCTCAGTCAATCCTCGTGCCTTATCTGTTCAGTCAGCGGTCACGCCGATCAGAATCCAATGTGTTTTGTCAGTTATTCCGTTTTGTCATCTATAAGTTCAGCGCAATTTTATCAGTCTGCATTAAAATACCTCAGATACATATTGGCATTCAGTCAAGTATAGCCTACTATTATTATTGTAACATTATGATGGTAGCCTACCATTATTAACTATAATAATAATTATCCATATGGGCATTGTTACTATTCAATTGTGTTTTTGAAGACAGATAGGTCTTTAATAGTCTATTGTATGTGATGATGAGGGAATTAGAGAAATGGCTGATAAAGAAGCAAAAGTTTTGTCAATGAAGTTTTGGCATGCCCATTTTTGGATGACATCTGATGAAGCACTTATATTGAGAAGGCCTTTCAGACGTGAAAGAGTGTTTCGGGACAGGTCCGACCCATTGGCTTTTCCCGACAATTACCTGCAAGAGCAATAGGGTAGAAGTGGAGGAAAATGCCCCCCTTAAGGAAAATGTGACATTACTGTAAAGCAAAACATAAATGTGACTAGAATTGCCATCCCAGTTTTGAGTGTCTTTGGCAGGAGTTATTTACCAAATATTAAAATTGCTCAACCTTCATAATTAATTTGTTTTTTGACTGAAAATATTTTTGTACAAAGAGGGTGTTTTGCCCCAGCGGTGGGGTAAAACACCCCCCAAGGTGGGGTAAAATGCCCCCTTTCTTACCAACCAGTTTCCTTCATAGATCAACAGCAAAATGAACATAGTTTTTAATCTCTAAAAGTAAAAGACAAGTAATGCAACCTGTAAGACGTAATGAAACGACGTCTCTCATGACATTGAAACAACGTTGATTTTGCTCATCGAATTAACGTTGAACCAACGTCAGACGCGGCATTCTTCAAAGCTAAATGAAAATCGAAAATTGGTTCGCTTTCATAACGTTGAAACAACGCGTTGATTTCAAGTTGATTTTCCGTTAGTTTTGAAAGAATGACGCGTCTGACGTTGGTTCAACGTTAATTCGATGAGCAAAACGATGTCAGATCAACGTTGTTTCGATGTCATATTTCCACGTTGATTCAATGTCAGTTTGCTATCTGGGCTACATTTTGATGTTAAACCCACTACTGTTTTATGTCTGATCTCATGACATTTCACACTTTTTTCATACATATTTTACAATAATTCATACGAGTGCGGTCGTAATATTTAGATTCCTCATAAAATGCATACGAATCGCTGAGTTTTTACCTCAATTACATCAGAAGTAACTGTAAATAAATTACAGATAAATTAAGAGTAATCCCTTACTTTACATTTTCAAGGAAAAGTAATGAAATTACAGTAACTAATTACTTAGTAATTAGTTACACCCAACACTTGAAGTATGGCGCATGCAACTTATCCATTGTAGCATCAATGAATCTGTGATGGACTGTGTGGTCTGTTGAAGAAAGCTGTTGACTCCCACTTATCTGAATTACTTACACCTGGCTTGACATAGCCGCTCCTCCTGAGCCTGGTTTGGCCTTTGTGAAACTGATAAAGCCAGGATGCACTGATCACACTAGGTCAAGCCCAGCTTTATCTCTTATCCTGGATTTCTAAATTCTGCTTTTGTGAAACAGCCCTCTGATTGAAACATATCCCAATGGCTGTGATCGGACGCTTTCTCACTGTGTTTTCAGTCCCTGAGTGGACTGAGCTGCAACCCCCACTACCTGCAGGACATTAGCATCTCTATGGAGAACGGCTTCAAAGGCCAGGCTGTGAAAGTTTACCTTAGACCTAAAAATACACATGCTTAAACAAGTCATCCTATACTTAAAACACTCTGAGGACTCTGCATGTATTTTTTGAGAGATTCAACAAGAGGAACTATTAATATGAGCTTTCGTTTCAGATGTGGTATAAAGGTTTAGTTAAACCAACAAAAATATGAATGCCCATGGTAATCTGCTACATCCCTATAACATCATTTGATTTATAAATGAGCAGATTTTTTATTTATTTATTTTTTTACATTGTGGTAAATTACTTTTTTCTGTCTTTTAAAATCTTTTAAATAGTAAATTAATTGGGGTTATACCAATGTATTGGTGAGTAAACAGTGAACTAGATTAAATATGCATGGAACTCCAAATAAACAACACATGGTCCAGTACTTTCTTAAAGGGATAGTTCACTTTGAAATTAATTTTTGATGTGTTTTATCTTACCTCAAGGGCATTCAAGATGTAGGTGTCTTTGTTTCCACAGTATTTTCAATTTTGACATTTTTCAGTCAAACCGTTGTTGTCTATCAGTCATACACTGGAGGCTAAGGGGGTCCACCAAAAAGCATGCACAGAGAAGTCCAAATTAAACATGATTTAATGACTTGTAAATGTAAGTACACATTGATGGCCTAAGACACGAAATGAGCGGTTTGTGTGAGAAAACCAACAGTATTTATATCGTTTTACCTCTTGTAATCACAGTGATCTGAATCTGTTGTTCAATGTCCAACTGAACCGAACTGAATCAGTTCAATGTTACGCCGGAAGTGATCGCTTGCGTGTGACGTCACTCAATATTTACACAGAGATTTCGGAAGTTTTACCTTTTACTAAACATATTTAGATATCCCGAAATCGTCTTCCATTGCGGTTTGGACTTCTCTGTGCTGCTCTTTGGTGGACCCCCTTCACCTCCAGTGTATGACTGATCAACCCGATCTCACGACCAAGTCGTACGAATTCGACGAATGATTAAAAAGTGGCTAATTCGTAACAATTCATACGACCTCACACGTACGAATTAATAAGATTTTGCTAAATCGTACATATTTTACGAATTGGCCAATTCGTATGAATTCGTACGAATGACCCACCCCTGACCCCACCCCTAAACCTAACCATCACGTGGGTTTAGACAAATCGTAGGAATTAGTACGAGTGAGGTCGTACGAATTAGTACGAATTAGACACTTTTTAATCATGCGTCAAATTCGTACGAATTGGTCGTGAGATAGTGTTGGACTGATAGACAAGAACGGTTTGACCAAAAAATGTCAAAATTGAAAATACTGTGGAAACAAAGACACCTACATCTCGGATGCCCTTGAGGTAAGATAAAACATATCAAAAATTAATTTCAAAGTGAACTATTCCTTTAATGTCGGTAATTTAATGCATTCAGTAATCTGAAGTAACCAATGCTATTATAATACATTAATTAAGTGTATTTATCTTATTCATATGAGCTCATAAAAACACAACCGTTTATAAGTTTATAGTAACTCTTAAAAAACACAACCTCATTGAAAATGGGTAGCACTTTATAAGTTTCCATTTATTAATATTGTTTTTTAACCAAATTAATGAAAATGAACCAACCACTTATTTTTTTACTAACATTAAGTTTTACTAACTTTTTTTTTGTTGTTTAAATAATTTGTTGGTTAGTTAGTAAAGTGAGTAAGGGATGTAGGCTACATCCAGCCGTCTATTATCGCAAAAAAAACACTGAGAAGGGTGAATGACCCAGATGTGAAGTAGCCATATAGTAGCAGCTATTCACTAGTGTGAATTGAGTTGTTTTAGTTACAAAAAACAGCAATATCCTTTCATTGACATAGTGCTTAAAACTATTCTTTTGGAATGTGTGGTTAACGATTTACATTCAAGCTAGGTAAATTTGCCTTTACATATGATAATCACAGGTGATTGCAGTTTAGTAACTTCCTGCATGTTTTTATCTCGCTAGACCAGGTGTTAATAGACTACATTAAATGCTTCAATTCACTAGCAGATATAGCAGTGAAACAATCAGAGGCAGAATTAAGACAGAAAATCATATTGTTGTTGTAAATAAGCTATTCATCTAAGCGGATTCATTCATCAACTATTTGTAAATAACCTGTTCAGTTGTAACAAGTGTATCGACTGTTTTTGCTTCGGCACTTATTATATTGTCTGCTCTACTCTTCGCAAAAGCTGGAAAAACATTTTGGCCACAACTTAGGGACGTGAAAAGGGCTGTCACTCATTTACTTCACCTTACTTTATAGTTAATTCAACGTTTACATACTGGTGGTTGATGTAAAACGTTAAAAAAGTTAAAGTAAATAGGATTTTTAAAAGTAAAATACTTTTGTTTAGGTTCATTATGTAAAAAACAGGAATTTTACTTTTTAAATGGTTAGTTCTGTGGATATCTTAATAATATGGTATCTGTTTCTCTATGGCATTTTATTTAAAAATCTTTAATCCCAATCAGAGCATTTGAGCAAAGATTGCATTGCGCTCGACCCAATCCAAGCAAACGTTCCACTTGTGTGCCGCTCACACTCACATCTGATCAAATCCCGCTCCTACAGGTTGTTTCTCTGTGCTAGATATATCGTTCTCTTTGTCATAAACTTCTTGATCAAATGTCTTAATTGCAGTTGGCTTATGGATAACAGTTAAGATATTTGTGGATTTAACATCCTTAGCTCTTTAACCTAAAAAATGTATTAATCTTTGTGAGGAGCGCATGTAAGCAACCGGTAATTATGAATATTTTTTAACTGGAAGTTATTACAAGCACTCACTTACGGTTTCTTATTTTGGGACAAAAAAACAACAACACAAAAATAACATAAACATGCACTTCCATTCATCATCTGAGCCACACCAAATAAAAACAAACATACATTAAAAAATACACTGTGGATATTTTGAAAACATCTTAAAAAATTGAATTAGGGACTGACTGGACATGTAAGGGGTGCAATTGTTAGAAATTATTTTTGACAGAATCAAAATGGTTTCAGTAATGGTTTTAGCTTTGTTGTGTTCCTAGATCCATTTACCACATCCATGTTTTAGACATTCCAAATATGTATTATCAAGTATTATCAATTGTATAAGTTTTTGTATTTGAGCTAACATATCTGTTTAATACTAACAGTCTGAGTAAGTAACATTAAGCTCTCAAGTGTCTGCTTACTAAAGCAAGATTTATGACATACTCATCATATTTCATTTATTCCCCACCTGCTAAAACAAGGGCTGTCTTAGAAAATGTTAATGTGTTTAAGTATAAACATTGATATATAAACGTGTAAAAATACATGTGGTGTGATTTGACTGTATTGTAAACAGCTCTGCTAAATTACAGAGCTGATTGAAACATATCCCAATGGCTGTGATCGGACGCTTTCTCACTGTGTTTTCAGTCCCTGAGTGGACTGAGCTGCAACCCCCACTACCTGCAGGACATTAGCATCTCTATGGAGAACGGCTTCAAAGGCCAGGCTGTGAAAGTTTACCTTAGACCTAAAAATACACATGCTTAAACAAGTCATCCTATACTTAAAACACTCTGAGGACTCTGCATGTATTTTTTTAGAGATTCAACAAGAGGAACTATTAATATGAGCTTTCGTTTCAGATGTGGTATAAAGGTTTAGTTAAACCAACAAAAATATGAATGCCCATGGTAATCTGCTACATCCCTATAACATCATTTGATTTATAAATGAGCAGATTTTTTATTTATTTATTTTTTTACATTGTGGTAAATTACTTTTTTCTGTCTTTTAAAATATTTTAAATAGTAAATTAATTGTATATCGCCTACTTTCTTTAAATGCTGCACCATCCCATAGTTTGATATTATTTTTGAACTTTTCCTTTATTAACTTTATCATGTTTTATCTGCCATTGATATAGGTTTGTGTTCTGTGCTCTATTTAAAATGCATGCAAAATAATACTAATTATGAAAAGTACTTTTTCCTGATCCAGTTGATGTTTACAACTGGATTTAAAACTAATTTACCAACAGATTCTACCCTTATGTTAATCTAGCTATTTGATTTCAATCACAAAACATTTGCATAACAGAACCAATAGTAATGTTGGCTAACTGTGGTTTATCCGATGGCCCAATCACTGCTCCGATAGCAGAACGTATATCTCTCTATTCCAGGTTCCTAATTCACACTTCATGTTTGGCATTTGGAAGAGCACAACTTTAGAAGACTTCAACGAGATTGTTTCCTACATTGGAGAGTTATCTTTCTATTATAGTTTAAAGATTTATCTACCTACAAGATCCCAAGATCCTAAGCGCACTGAGCCATTTCTCATCTCACTTTTTTTCTTTCCGAAGTAAAAGGTAAGTTGTACATTCTAACTTCATTTTATGATGATTTGTAAATGCTAACATTATACAATGTTTTTGCATCCTCTTACAATGTAAATGTGCATGCAGATTGGTATTATTGATATTCAGTTTCTTTTTAAAATGATTTTATAAAAATACTTGATATAAAAAGTATAGTAAAAATGTAGTAAATTATCAGCCACATTGTCATCTTTTCAATAAGTTATTGTCTACACAATTCTAAGGAGTTTTTTTTTAGAGTATTTTCTATTTTTTTTTTTTTTTTTTTACTTAGCATATGCACTATATCCTGCATAAAATGTTCTTATATTTCACAGGAAAATGAGACCCAAAAGAGTTTCTCCTGAAAAGGAAGCCTTGTACTTCATTGCTTCGGGGAAAGATAAAGACACATTCGAGAAAAAATTAATGTGTGAAGAGAAAGGTAAGTTACGGCATTCAATTCTGCCATCAGTATGACTTTGCAAAACTTAATTAAAAGCTAAGTTTGGTCTCTAAATAATGTCGAATGGTTGGGTTTAAAATGTGTAGCTAAAAACAACAGGCTGTTAAAAAAAAACACAAGAGAAACAAAAAAACATGATTGAATCAGTTAAAGGTGGATTTATATCTGTTTTCCTGCCTGTATTTATGCTAGCTGCTGATGTCCAAATTAAACTCCATTGTGTAGATGTGCGAGTGATCTTGATATTATTTGTATGTAACTGCCAGTTAGACTCCGGGGGCCTGTTTAACAATGGAAATTATCAATATTCAGTGTCATGATACATATGAGTTTTGTAGTTTTGCACTTTTAGATGTAGATATCGTATTTGTTTTCCAAGCAGGGCTACCATTTAAAACAGTTTAGACAACCTTAACAACTTTATGAATCTTTTCTCATACTTAATTTACACTTATTTATACCCAATTTATTAGGTTTTGGAGTAATCGCCACAAAACATATTGAGCCAGGAGAATTCCTACTGGAGTATGTTGGAAGACACATGGCTGGATCTGAAGGAGAGACCCTGCTCAAAGACTACTCAGCTGAAGATGCAGTTTTTTTTATATTTCTACTCCTTTCAGGGACAATCTTACTGGTAAGATTAAATTAATGAATGTTCTAATGAAGTATAATTACATCATATTATGGTATGTTTATATACAGTGTTTTTAAAATATTTCACCATACAGTGTTGATGGCAGTAAAGCTACAGAAAATCTCGGACGATACATAAATGATGACCACATCAAGCCAAACAGCAAAATTAAAATAGTAAGTCTGTATTTAATGTTTTCGTATTGTTTGTCTTATTCTTTGTTTTAATTACTCCTTTTATAGAGCCTCATCTTGATTGTAGCATTATTTGACATTACAAACTAGACAGTTGTGGGTCTTTCAAATGTTGTTGTTTTTGTTTTCAAATGTGTGTTTGTGTACTTTTGTGACCAACAGATAATGGATGAAAAGAAAATGCCACATTTGTGTGTATTTGCGTTAACAAAAATCAAGCCAATCATACCAAAGAAAAAATCATACCAAAGCCTATGGACTAGTATGCAGGAGTGATCCAGCTCTCAGATTTCATAAAAAATATCTTAATTTGTGTTCGGAAGATGAATTAATGTCTTACGGGGTTGAACAACATGAGGGTGAGTAAATACTGACAGAATTTTCATTTTTGGGTGAACTAACCCTTTAAATGCTTTGCTTAAGTTGATGAAGACCTCCACTGTGTATTGCTTTATCCTCAGTTGCAGATGTAATTTTTCCTATGAGTTCAATTAATGCCAAAGCAGTTAATCTTTTTTATCTCTAAAGCCATATTGTTTTTCATTAAATAATTTGTGTTTTTCTAAAAAAAAAAATTAATTTTTGAGCAAACAACTTTTCAAGGATTTTAGAAAACCGAGAGAGCAATGACACTGGTCTGTAGTTGTTAAAGTGTAGTTATACATTTCTCCCAGCCCTGCAAATCTGGTCCTCTAGTTATAAAGGAGCCCAAAACCCTTTAAAATCAGCAACAGACCAGTCTGACCAGTTAGACAGTCTATCTCAAACCAATAGACTATCTAGTTTAAGCCCCCCCCCCTTTCTAATAGATTGATCAGATAGCGCCCCTTTAATCTTTTCTATTTTACCTGTTCATAATCATTTTTGCATGAATTGAAACGCATGATTGTTCATGATTTTCATGCATGATTTAAATTGTATTATATTACATTATTATTATTCATGTATTTAATTTTATTCATGTATTTAAATGTATATATGTAAATGTAATGTGTTTGAAAATACACAATAAACCTTGAGCAGTTAAAGCTTCAATTGTTCTTTTTTCTATTTCCTATAGTGCTACTGTGCAACCTGTAGAATATGTAGAAAATCCATAGAAATATTATTTTAACTGTTAAATAATACTCTATTTCTACGGATTTTCTACATATTCTACAGGTTACACAGTAGCACCAAATAAATACAATAACATTTCATAACTGTATAATACTATACAGTATTATTAAAAATTAACAGTGTAATACTGTACTTTAATATGGTAAGAAATTACAGTAAAATAATGTTATTTGATTTTACAGTATGCTTAACAGTACTGTAGTTAGTGTTAAAGTAATTTTATTGTTGAATGAAATACAGCAAGTACTGGATAATTGTTGCCAGTAAGTTACTGTTAATTTGACAAGACATTTTTTTACAGTGTATTTTATACAGAATATAAAAAAAGGATAAAACATAATGGACAGATGTGTTGGGAAATGGCAGTTGTATTAACAATATGGCATTAAAATATATTTTGAGCCACCAATCCTACTCCTACCCCTAAACCTACCCCTAACAATTCGTTAAAACTACGTAAACTAACGTTACAATTATGAAGAAAAACGTGACTAACAGAAAAGTATAATCACAATAATATATTTATTGCGAAAATGTCAAAACCGCTACCAAAAGCCGTTCACATGAAGATGCTTTGCAGTCGCAGTCCTCTCTGGCAACATTGTAATAGTTTTGTATGAAGTACAGAGCAGAATTTAAATTAATAATCAATGAAAATGTTCATCCGGCTTCAGTTCGCAGCTTCGCACTATTTCAAAAGAACTAAACCAACCGTCACAGTCCTTCATGTCTCAATCTGTGATGAGGCAGGGAAGAGCCAATGACCATTTGATATCTCTGCCGTAAAACACGACGTATCGCTTCTCAAGGGCGCGATTTTTGAATTTGAATTCATCACCAGCGCGGGATTTGACGTGTACGGTTGCTGCTGAGAATGGAGGCGAAGATCACGACTGGATAAAAGGTTGAATTAGGATTTTTTTCTTGTAAACAACGTAGGCTATGGATTCTAAAGATTTGGATTACATCAAACTAATAAAATTGATGTCTTTTGTGAATTTATGTTTTGTTTTATAGGAGAAAACACTTTCTGTGCCTCACGGCAAATAAACTATATTACAAAATGGTTAAACGAGTAAAGTTAAAGAATGTATTTTTAAGGTTTTATAGTGTATTGTTTAACACCATGCAGGCGAAACGAGCAAAATGTTAATATTTATGAGTATTATATCAATAAATGAGACTGAAAACGTAATGAATAAGACAGTTGAATGCAATAGAGTCAAAACATAATGCTACGATTTTAATATGCATAAATTGTGATATGTACAAATGTGTACATCGGTGGATTTGTTCAAATGTAAATAAATTACGTTTTTGTGCTGTCAATAACGTAAATATTTTACATTTTAGTTCTGTAAATACGTCAGTATTATACGTTTCTGCGCATATAAAACGTAATTATATGTACGTATGATAGAACTACACTTTACGTACAAATGCATACGTATTCTCATGAGATCACATTGGATTTTAGTCGACTAAAATATAATGGGTTTAGTTAAATTGTAATGCGTTAATTTAGAATTTAGAATAGAATAAAATGTACAAACCCATACACTCCCGAAGAAAACATCTATTAACCTATTAATATAAATGATTTAAAAGTCTGAACATGCAATACAGATACGGATTTAACTACTGTGATTTAAAAAATATCTTAAAATTAAATAAAAACCACTTTTCCTAAAGTACAACACAGCCTTTTCAATGGATGATATACAGTATGCATTCTTTATAACCATGCATACATCCTTCTTTATTCTTTCAAGCAGAAATATTCTTTGTGTAAATTAAATATAATTAATCCTTATTATACTAAAGCTATTAACAAACTGTGATTGCTTTTCTCTTTTTCTTTGGTTGCTTGATCAATATTAAGGACACAGACCACATTATGTTTGTTGCCACTTTCACTTTAAGACGTCGGATTATTTCCAATGACATGCGGATCCAATTGCACTGATGCACATCCGATACACTCACAACTGTTTAAGACATAACCGACATAATTTACATGAATACTGTCCAAAGCGGACATTTAAAGCACTCAATAACCTTGCCCCTTCATATTTATTGGACCTTCTTAATATCTATATTCGATCTCGGACTTTAAGATCGTCTTCCTCGCTCACTCTTGTTCTCCCTAGAACCCGCACTACTTCTATGGGGTCCCGGGCTTTTAGTTTTGCTGCTCCTTATTTATGGAACCTGCTGCCACAGGATGTGCGAAACAGTGAAAGTATTCATGTTTTTAAATCTTGCCTTAAGACCCATCTTTTCCGGCAGGCTTTTATGTTTTATGTGATTTATATATATATATATATATATATATATATATATATATATATATGTGTGTGTGTTAGGGCTGGGCAAAAAAAATTGATTTTTCGATTAATCGTTTTTTAAAATGTGGCCGATTCAAAATCGATTCTCAACGGCCTCGAATCGATTTTTTCCATATAAAGGGCTCGCGGACGCGGTGCGGCGTCTTCTCGTCTCACTGCACTAGGCAAGCACTAAGCTAGGGTTGAAACGATTCCTCGAGTTACTCGAGTTACTCGATTACAAAAATTCCTTGAGGCAAAAAATCTGCCTCGAAGCCTCGTTAAATGACGCAGTTCCTATGGCGCACGCAGGGATCTGATTGTTTCACACGGACCGTTATTCAGGAAGCACACCACAGCGCATGATACATATGACTTCATAAATTGCAGAGAATGTCTAAAGTTTGGGATCATTATATGTTTATAAAGGGAGAGAACAAGATGCAATGTGTCTGCAAAGTATACCTGGCAGGGCTGCCAACTCTCACGCATTCAGCGTGAGACTCGCGCAATTCGATTTTTCACGCTGCGTGTATATCCCTTCGGTCAAATGCCTGAAAGATGAGTTCGTCTATAGATCTACCTGTTGAGCCACTCGTGATCGACTAGTTTTACCGCCGCATATTAATTCGCAAGTTAAAATATCCTGTAATCTAGTGCATTTAGTGTATCTAGAATAAAAAGAGTTTTATATACAGGTTTGTGGCTCTTAAAAAACTTTTGCTGGTAATTTACTCACCCCCATGTCATCCAAGATGTTCATGTTTTTCTTTCCTCAGTCGAAAAGAAATTAAGGTTTTTGATGAAAACATTCCAGGATTTTTCTCCATATAATGGACTTACATGGGAACCAGACGGTTCAAGGTCCAAAAGACGGTTAATAACAGTTTCAGATGCAGCTTCAAATGTCTTTAAACGACACCAGACGATGAATAAGGGTCTTATCATGCAAAACGATCGGTTATTTCAAAACTTATTCCAAAAATGTAACTTTTCTAAGGACAAATGCTAGCCTTGCTCTATTCTGTCAGGCGCGTTTGTAACGTCACGTATTACGTAATTACGTTCAAAAGGTCACGGGCGACGTAGCCGGAAGTACAGAATCAAAATCGTCCGACATCGTTGTTTTACCTTTTAATTACTTTTTTGTAAACAGCGTTTGAGTTAGTTTGCACGTTCAACCTATGCGTTCAACTTGTAAACACTGACTCTGTACTTACGGCTACGTCGCCCGTGACCTTTTGAACGTAATCCTGCTGCCGCCACAGAGTGCCATTTAGTTTTATATAAAGTTTAAATTATTTTATTGTCTCAAATCGTTGATAATGTATACTGACTTTGCCCTATGCTGCAATAAATTTAGTTTTGCATTCATTTACATAAATCAGCTGCTTGAATGACAATTGCTGATGTAATTGGGTTTTCATGTGAGATTCTCAATTCATTCAGTTAACTGATGCTCTGAGGTAGTTTTCAGACTGCAGACTCAGCAACGATTGTATTTAATTGTACAGTACAATTATAACATAGAACAAACATCTTCATTTCATGTCATTAAACATAACAATATTGCTGCCATACACTGATGAGAAAGTGTGAGTCCGGTGTGCGATACTTGGAGTTGTCCTAGACGTGGCGCAGCGCTGCGCTTCTCATTCGGTGTGCGACCCCCTTTACGGATGTGTATTTCACTGCCACTTCAATTCACTGTTCACACACACACACAAAGTCCCCACTTGGTTGGATAGATATCATTCAGAAAGTTCCCTCTTGGCTAGTGTGCAGCGACACTTCTGTGTTAATACATGTATATGTTAGTAATATAGACGTGTGTGTGCAATGGCACATAACTATGGCAAGTAAATTGTTAGGGACTGC